GCCTGGCCAATCAGTGTTTTATTAAAATATGATTGACAGAATACAGACAATTCTCCCGCATCAAAACCCTATGTTCCAAATGTGCTAGGTGACCCATTCTGGGATGGGCCAAAGCTTCCTCCAAGCTGTGTCTCAGTCTCTTTCAGTTTTAGAAAGTACTGATGAGCCATCTCATTGGGTTTCCTGGGCTGCTTCCTTTTTTAATCTAACACCAAGGGATCCATAGCAGCAAGTTTTGGCCTTGTTCTGAGTTTGGGGAGGGCCTGCAACTGACTTGGCATGATGTGGTGAACTGGGCAGTGGTGAACTTGTGGAAACTTGTACCGGTATACTTGTGAGTATACCTGATGTTGAACACACAGGCACAGTGAGTCTCTGTCTTTGTCATGTGGCACTGGCAGTGTGTTCTTGGTCTCTGTCTACATGACAGTCAGATAGATGTGGTTCAACTCAAAGACAAGCAGGACTCTGTCCTTGGAGATGGGTGAGTGCTGGAGCCTGGCTGAGATCGTGAGCTGTTTGCCAGGCCTCTGCCTACAGTTTGTGGTGGAAGGTTGGAAGGGGCTACACAAGCCTCCACTCAGTATGCGAAGTCACTTGTTGTGAGGGTAGCTTCTCTGGTCACTGCAGGGTCCTTTTGGAGATGTTATCTTCCTCAGTACTTCTGATAGTTTGCTTTCTAGTTCCTGCCTACCTCCTCTGCCTGACACTGTTTCTAGGTTTCTAGTGCCCTAGGGCATAGACACAGTTGTGAGCCCCCTGGTCTGCTGTAAGCTGCATCTGGAATATGACTATTGCTTGGGCCCAATGCAAAGCTGAGGCCAGTAATGCATTGTGCTCTGCTGAGGACTTTGTGGTATTCATTGGGCAGGTGTCACCTCCTTGCTCCTGGAAAGCAGTCTTCTTTCTGTGCTTGTGGACACATAGATACACACCCACATGCAAACAAATATACACTATACACATATACTATGTACAGAGATAGAGAGAGAGGGAGGGAGGGATGGACACAGACAGATGACAGACAGACACAGGGACAGAGAAGAATCCTCAGTAATTCCGGGTGTGGCTTGAGGTGTTAGGCTCAATGTTACTCCTATCACAATTCAATTTTATTTATAGATATGTGACTTGATTCTCCCCCCAGGGTGCTCATGGGAGCTTAGAAGACCCTAAGAGTGTGACCCACCATAAGTTAATACATGCTGCTTCAGAGAGGGTGCTCAGTGACACCAAAACTATCTTGGAAGAAAACATCCAGGACCAAGGTAAGGAGGCCATGAGAGGCAGTATCCACAGAGCATGGCGCCTGTGTCCCAGTGCCACCCACATGGTGCTTTTCTGAATCTAGACAAAAGCAAAGACCAGATTGACTCTGGTTCTATTTATTTATTTTTTATTAAAAGAAGTGTGGGTTTTGATGTACTTGTGAACAATAGCAGAAATATAAACTGAACAACTGGCAGACATCTGAGAAGCCATAACGAGAGTGTTATGTTTAATCCTGTTTTAAAGCAAAACGACATTCTGGAACTTCTGGGGCTTTATTTTTCTGTTGGACACACTCATCACAGTGGCTGTTTCAGGGTCTGAGTGAGATACTTCTGTTGTGCACACCCACTTCTTCATTCATACATCACTCTGGGAGAAAATTTGTTTTCTGTATGTCATTCAGATGCGGACTTCAGGTTGTCATCCTTTATGATGAGCTATGACCAAAGCTCAAAATGTCATGGACGGTGATTCTCCTCCCCCATGATGAACTGTGAACTGGCTACAGTTCAGGTTGTTCAGGCTTTAGGTCAAGTTAGAGATTCACAGATTTTTAGGACCAAGCCCTTGAAAATAAGGACATTGTGCAAGATGTCCCCCAGTGCTCTGTATGCTTCTCAGGAATATGCTGTGCCCACCTCAGAAGCCACAGGTTATCTATGGTGACTCAGTGGCCACTTCAAAGCTGAGGAGGGAAAGCTGGCTCGACTGGGGGGGGGGTCCCAAAGGAAACCCTGACATCAAGCATCCAGCACCTTTCTTGTGTGTGTGTGTGTCTCACTATAGCCTGGCTTGCCTAGAGCTATATAGCCCAGGCTGGCTCCAAACTCACAGTATCCACCTGCCTCTGCCTCATGAATGCTGGTATTAAAGTGTGCACCACCATTCCCAGCCCTTTTACTCTGCAGAGGTGTGTGTCCATGTATGAATATGCACGTGGGGGTCGTGTTGACGTCACTTTATGCACTGAGGCAGGGTTTCTTGCTAATGCAGAACTTGTCTATACAGCTGTTCTGACCAGCTTGTCTCTGCCGTGCTTACCTGTCACTCACGTGGGTCTGCACTCCAGTCCTCACTCTTCTATAGAAAGGCCTTAAACCACTGAGCTATCCCTCCTGACCCCCTTCTGGTACCTTTTATGTCATTTATGGCTATGAAAAGGTAACTGTCTTCATAGATACAACTGTTACATTTTTTTTTCTAGATGTCTTGTTATTGATAAAAAAGCGTGCTCCTTCTCCACTTCCTAAGATGGCTGATGTCTCAGCAGAAGAAAAGGTAAGTTTCAAAGTTTGGAACTAAGGGCTCTTCACTGGTAGGTGTTGTTCCTTGTGCTTCCGACTTCAGAGAGCTTGGTTTATTCCCTGGGCCTGTATAGCCCCTCTAAGGGGACTTACATCGTGACTGAGCCTGTTCTGCTTGAGTGTGTTCATGGTTGGTGTCTAGTGACAGAGAGCAGAGGAGCGCGAGGGCACCATCCTTAGTGGGTGCTTCCTCCTGTGCTCCCGTGTGAAGTGCCAGTGCTGATCTGTCTTTCCCGTCTCCCAGAAGAGTACTACAGAAAGCTGTAGTTAGATAGTCTGCCCAGAAGGAGCAGGCGTGCGCCTGGACTGGCCTGTGTGTGTTCTTGCAGTTGTATTGAGTGCAGTGGCCTGGAGTTTATGTTAGAGGGTGATCTGTGGCTTGCACCTTCCCTTTATCTGGAGCCTTAGGAAGGTACCCCCTTTGTTGTTTGTGTAGTGACTGCTCCAGAGCCCATCCTTCAGCAAGGTTCTCTTATGCAGTGCAAGATGCATCCTGTGCATAGCTTGTCTCAACACCAGACCACACACCTGTGCTTGGTGGAGAGATGATATTTTAAAGATTAATTTCTTTTTAAACATAGATTTTTATTTATTTATTATGTATACATAATTCTGTCTGTGTGTATGCCTGAAAGCCAGAAGAGGGCACCAGACCTCATTACAGATGGTTGTGAGCCACCATATGGTTGCTGGGATTTGAACTCAGGACTTTTGGAAGAGCAGGCAATGCTCTTAACCACTGAGCCATCTCTCCAGCCCCTTAAAGATTAATTTTTAAAATTTTTTATTTGTGTATTTGTGTGAGTCTGTGTTTTTATGCCTGCAGAGGCCAGAGAATATATCTGATCCCCGGAGCTGGAGTTAGAGATGGCTGTGAGTCTCCTGAAGTGGGTGCTAGGAACTAGACTTAGGTCCTGTGGAAGAGCAGCAAGCATTCTTACCGGCTGAGCCGTCTCTCCAGTCCCAGGATGTGCTCTTTTAAAGAATAGTCACCTTTATTTAATGCCTTTTCCTGTTTTAGGAGTCTGGGCTTTCTTTATATGTGCTCTGAAGTGCCAGGGAAAGTGTTGATCTCAGGGAAGGATCAGGCCAGCTCTTGGGCTGGATCCATGACCTGATAGCAGATGAGCTATTTTGGAGACTCTTCTGGGGCCAAGGATATATGAGAGCGCCTGGGTTTCACACCCTCCTTATCTTTGGCCACCTGGCCATGGTGGTGTGGGTGTGGGTACTGACAGGCAGCTCCATCCATCTTCACCAGACAGATCCTGGGCCACCCCTGCTTTCCTGAGCCAATGGCAGAACTCAGATTACAGACTTGAAACTCCTGTAGCTATTAAGGACATAGTTCCTATCACAAACTGTGTGGCCTACTGCTTGCTTAGGGTACTTATGCAGAGTACCTAGCTAGTAGTTTGCTAGAGCTGCCTTGACATAGTATATAACAAAAAGAGAAACATCATGGCATTATTTAAAATTCTAAGTAAAAACAATGCAGTTATTAAGAGTCAAAGAGTACTACAAATCTAATAAAAATCATACTGGATTCATAACAATAAGTGTTGGGGACAGATCTCAGCTGCCTTGCACTTGCCACTGAAACCCATCCAGCCCACCTCTACTTCTTTCAGCTCTTATTCTTGGCAGTTCTCTCTCTTCCTGCTTCCTAGATACTCTGCATTCCTTGCTCTTTCTGCCTTTACCAGAGTTAGAGTGTGGCTTCTTAGTGATAAGGATACAGCTCCCCTCCTAGTCTCCTTCCCTCAAGTGATAGTAGAAGATGGGGTAAATACTGTTTTCTGTTTACTTACTGCCCTAGTTTGGGTTTTTATTGCTGTGAGGAGATACCATGACAACTATAACTCATTTAGTTGGGGTGGTTTGCTTACATTTTTAGAGGTTCAGTTCATTGTCATCATGACTGGGAGCATGGTGGTGTGTAGATGTGCTGCCTCATCTTGAAGGCAACAGGAAGTTGACTGACAGTCACACTGAGGGAAGCTTGAGCAAAAGAGACCTCAAAGCCTGCCCCCACTGTTACTCACTTCTTCCAACAAGGCTATACCTACTTCAACAAGCCACATTCTAATAATGCCACTCCCTTTGGAGGCCATTTTCTTTCAAACTACCATATTCCACTCCCTGATCCCCAAAGACTTACAGCCATAAAATAATGCAAAAAAATGCATTCAGTCCAACTTCAGAAATCTCCATAGTCTCTAACAGTCTCAAACTTGTTTCAAAGCCCAAAGTCTCTTCTGAGATACATGGCAATCTCTTAACTGTAATCCCCCTGTAAAAATCAAAATAAAAAGCAGGTCACAGGCTGGAGAGATGGCTCAATGGTTAAGAGCACGGGCTGCTTTTCTAGAGAACCCAGGTTCAATACCCAATACCCACGTGGCAGCTCTCAACCTTCTGTAATTCCACTTCCAGGGGATCTGACACCTTCATGCCAATGCACATAAAATAAAAGTTGGGAAAAAAAGCCAGATCGTATACTTTCAACATATAATGGCACAGGATATACATTATCATCCCCAAATGCAGGGAAGGGAGCATAGTGAGGAAATACTGGACAAGAGCAAGGTCGAAAACCAGCTGGGCAAACTTCAAACACTGCAGTTCCATGTCTGATGTCAAAATACTCTTTAGATTTCCAACTCTGTTCAGCTCTGTTGACTGCAACAAATTTCTTTCTCTTGGGCCAGTTCTGCTCCCTGTTAGCAGCTCTCCTGGGCAGGTATCTCACAACTCTGGTGTCTTGGAGAACATCTTGTGTTCTCCAAGACAATCTAGGCTTCAACTTCACAGCTTCAAGAAATGGCATGTCTTCTAGACCTCCATTCAGGGACACCCCTGATACATGCCTGGCCTCAGTGACTTTATTCCATAACTCCTTTCTTCTGTCCTTAATTCTAAAACCAGAACCATGTGACTGAAACTGCCAAGTTCTGTTGCTTGTGGGGGCTGGGACATGGTCCCCTGGTTCAATTAGATCTTCATCAGCTTTCTGTCTTCACTGCCTAAACTTGACTGCCTGAAATTTTCTTTGTGGACCATGCTGGCCTCAAAGTTGGAGAACTGCCAGCCTCTGGCTTTACAGTGCTGGGATTAAAGGTGTGCCCCACCACACCCGGATCTAATCTTTTCTTTAGTTTCTTTTCACCAGCTTGAAACTTAACTGGGCGGGGTCTTACCTTGAGGTCACCACTCCCTTTATTCCATTTCTTAATCCATTTATCGCCTTCAACAGAGGATTTAGCTTCATTCCACTTTCTTGTGTTCTTTTTCTCCTCAGATATTTTTCCTTGCTTAGCTTGCTCCTTTTCATTATATATCTGCATTTGAGTTCCCACTAATTTCCACATGAAAACATCTATACTAGGTTGTTTTGAGATTTCTTTTGTCAACAGAATTAATACAAAGTTCTTCACTTTACTCAGGCAGACTCTTTGGACAATGACAGAAGGCAGCCACTTTCTTCACCAAAATATCATGAGAACAATCCCTAGGCAATATACTAAAGTTCTCTGAAACCTCTTGAGTAAGCCCCCTATAGTTCAGATAACTCTTAGCACCTCTGTCTTCCATGTTCCTACTAGGATGGCCCATTAAGCAGTGCTTAAAGCATTCCGTGGCTTTCCAAACTCAAAGGACCAAAGTCCAAATTCCTCCAAACAAACACATGGTCATGCCTATGACAGTGATACCCCAGTCCCTGGTACCAACTTCTGTCTTAGGGTTTCTGTTGCTATGAAGAGATACCATGACCATAGCGGCTCTTATAAAGAAAACATTTGAGAAGGCTTATAGTTTCAGAGGTTCAGTCCCTTATCATCATAATGGAGAACATGGCAGTGTGCCGACATGGTGCTGATAATGCTACATCTTTTCTTTTCTCTCTTTCTCTTTCTTTCTTTCTGTGTTTTTTTGAGATAGGGTTTCTCTGTGTATTATAGCTGACCTGGAACTAGCGCTTGTGGACCAGGCTGGCCTCAAACTCATCCACCATTGCCTAGCTGGTCGTGCTACATTTTGCTGGCAATCAGTTTCATGAGGGAAGCTTGAGCAAAAGAGACCTCAAAGCCCGTCCCCACAGTGACAAACTTTCTCCAACAAGGCCACACTTACTTCAACAAAATACATTCTAATAGTGCCACTCCTTTTGGTGGTCATTTTCTTTTGAACTGCCACACTTACTACTGTTGTTGAAGTGTTTTTTTCTGCCAGGAACATAATATGTTAAGATATTTTGACCTGGTGGTGGTGGCATCTGCCTTTAATCCCAGCATTCAGGAGGCAGAGGCAGGGAAATCTCTGAACTCAAGGCCAGCCTAGTCTACAGAAGGAGTTCTAGGACAGTCAGAGCTAGAGGGAAAAGAAAAAGATTTTTGTTTTGGGGCTAGGGATGTGGCTTAGTGGTTGAGCACTTGCCTTGTGTGTCCAGGGCCTTGTGTGCTGTGTCAGTTGCTGCCCACTGTGCAGTCTTTCTGTGCTGTTTCTGTTGCCTCCTCTTGTTGGCACTGGCTTGTTTTCTGTACTTAGGCTTGTGAGGACAGAAGGCTCAGCTGACTGTTGTGCGTTCTTTTCTGAGGTTGTGGGAGGATGTGTGTCTAGGTGCTTTTCATGCAATTGACAGGATTCTGTCTCTGCTGTTAGCTGGGGATTACTCTTAGTTCCTAGAGGCAGTTTGCATGACCTTCCGTCTTCATCAAAGAAGTAGAGATTTTTAGTGGTTGACTCCCCTTGCTGGAAAGAGTGATATCCTTTGTAAGGGCCCTCTGGCCAGTACTAAAAAATCAATGTGCTTTTTCTGCATTCAGCTGTGCCATATGACACAACCCAAGCCCAGGGCTGATCAATCCTGCTTATGTCTTAGTATCTTGCAGTCTTTGGGGACTGTTTTCAGGAAGCATAGGACTGTCTGAGTTCTTTTCTGAAGAATTGGGTATCTTCTTGTCTTGTTCCTTTGGTGTGTCAGACTTGACATCACTGTGATGTAATACCTAAGGGAACATGCTAGAGGAAGAATTTATTTTGTCTTAACTTTTCAGAAGTTTCAGTCTGGGGTCAGTTGGCTTCATTGTTTTAGTTATCACAGTGCAGAAACCTGGAGGAAGAGCATAGCGGACAAAAGCTGTTCACTGCATGGTAGTCAGGAAACGAAGAGTGACAGGAAGGGGTCAGTCCAAGTTAATACTCTGTAAATGACACATCTGCAGCTGACAATGGTGGTGCACTGTAACATGAGGGCCTGCTTGTTGGAGTTTCTGTCCTGCCTGGTTCCCACAGCCGTTCAGCCCCAAAGAAAATCACACAGAGGTCCTCATAAGTTATAAACTGACTGGCCCATTAGCTCAGGCTTCTTATTAACTCTTAAAACTTATATTAGCCCATTATTCTAGTTTATATTAGCCACATGGCTCAGTACCTTTTTCAGTGTGGCAGATCACATCCTGCTTCTTTGATATCTGGACAGGACTGGGGAGGAATGGGCTTCCTTCTTCCCAGAATTCTCCTGTTCTCATTGACCTGCCTCTACTTCCTGTCTCGCTTATACTTCCTGCCTGGCTACTGGCCAATCAGTGTTTATTTGAAACATAATTGACAGAATACAGAATTGTCCCACACCAGTGCATGTCTTTAATTCCAGCACTTGGGAGGCAGAGGCAGGCAGATTTCTGAGTTCAAGACAAGCCTGGTCTACAGAGCTAGTTCCAGGACAGCCAGGACTGTGCAGAGAAACCCTGTATGGAAAAACAAAACAAAACAAAAAGATACATCTTTACCCATTTCATCTAACCGGGCTTTGCCCCCATGGTTCTGCCATCTCCCTACTGACACTTTGAATCTGAAAACCGATTAAATCATGGATTAGGCTACAGTTCTCAAAAGCTCTTTGGGAACACCCTCTCAGACGTACCACAGATGTGCTTTACTAGCTTCTCTGTCTCTCAACCCACAGGGTAGGTGGAATGTGACTTCATCTTGGTCTCCAGGCTTGGCAATCCACATCTGACCTGAACAGAGAGTGTTACTCTTGGCCTTCTGTGATCACCTCCTTTCCCTGCTCCGTCTGTCTGTCTGAAACCTAGGATCTGTATATCCTGAGGAATTGTGGAATTTCATTATGCACTCTGAAATAGACTTTTCCCAGATTCTGGAGATTCAGATGTTTGAATTCTAGAAATTGACTTCTGGATCTTTTGCATATTTTGAGATAGGGCCTTGCTGTGTAGCTTTTGTTAGCTTGTACTTCTATGTAGACTAGACTGGCTTTGAGCTATTGGAGATCTTCCTACTTCAGCCTCCCAAGTGCTGGTATTGTTGATGTGTGCCACCACACCTGTTTGTTCTGATTGTTGTTGATTCTTTTTTTCTTTAGATTTATTTATTTATTATATAGACAGTGTTCTGTCTGTCTGTACACCTGCAGGCCAGAAGAGGGCACCAGATCTCATTACAGATGGTTGTTAGCCACCATGCGGTTGCTGGGAATTGAACTCAGAACCTCTGGAAGAGCAGGCAATGCTCTTACCTGCTGAGCCATCTCTCCAGCCCCAATACTTTCTTTCTTGCTTTCTTTCTCTACTGCTGTTGTTGGCTGACCTGGTGGGCTTGCATCCTGTGGATTTCCTTGGCTATATCTTCTAACTATTCTGTAGCTTCTTTACCTGGCTGTTTTGGCTCTTGCCAGTGGCACCCTAGTGTATACATGCTGGGTTGGTGTGACTTCAAGTTGCTGGTACCGAGGTACCCAGCTCCCTTACCTGCTCCTCCTCTTCCTCACCACTTCCTTATACCCCTAGCCTCTGAGAGCCCTGGAAGCTTGGTGCTTTGTGCCTAGATAACTTGTGCCAGCTGCTGAGCTCAATGGAGCAGAGACCCTTTTGCACACTTCTTACTCCAGTCTACCCTGTTCTGGTTGGCTTGCTGATTATGTGAGTAGCTGGGGTAAACAAGAAGCAAAGCAGTAGTAGGGTACAGGACGGTTCCCTCTTCCCCCTTCTCCCTCCCTTGTTGTTAGGAGCGCCGTTTGTTCGTTTCCAGGCTAATCAGCCTTGAAATAACCACACAGAAACTATATTATTTAAATCACTGCTTGGCCCACTAGCTCTAGCTTCTTATTTGCTAACTCTTACATATTAATTTAACTCATTTCTAGTAATCTGTGTATTGCCACATGGCTGTGTCTTACTGGCAAGATTCCAAGTGGTGGCTGTCTCTGGCGGGGCTACATGATTTCTCCCTGACTCTGCCTCCTTTCTCCCAGCATTCAGTTTAGTTTTTCCCACCTACCTAAGTTCTGCCCTATCAACAGGCCAAGGTAGTTTCTTTATTCACCAATGGTATTCACAGCATACGGAGGGGAACCCCACATCACTCTCTCTCTCTTAAGTGCAGCCTCCCACTCTAAGCTTTCAGTTTTCACCAGACTGTTGTTGGCCAAGGCCAGTGAGGCAGAAGTATGGTTCTGGCTCTTGGATCCAGGCCTGCCTTTTCTGGCACCAGTATCCCAGTGCCGTTCAGTAAGTTGGTATGGCCTTGCTCTTAGGTTTTATCCTGTGGGCTCTTGGCATTAACTGTGACCCCAATACACCCTTTGTGTACCTTTCCGTTCCTTCTGAACTTGCTGAGTGCTGCTCCCTCTGCTGGTCTGGTTTTCTCTCCTGTTCTTATCTGTGAGCTTCTGCCACCTTCATCCTTTACTTTCATTCATGGAGGCTTGGGAGACCTCCAGGCTTCACTGCAGCTGTGTGCTTCCTCTGGAGACCTCTGCCTCAGCCCCACCAAGGTACCACAGGACTGCCACTCTGCAGCACCAACCTCTCTGTCTTCACCTGCATATGGTTTATAGCAGGTACGATCATGTCCTAAGCATCTTTTGGCTTCTGCTTCTAATACTGTGCACAGCACTTTCCAGAATCTTCTAGCCCAAGAGGATCACAGCTAAATCTTAAGAGGTTACTGTTCTCCTCGCTTTTGGCTGTTGGTCCAGGTTCATTGTCATACTCTTCATATTCCTGGACTCTTCTTTCTTACTTGAATCATTTTCTCTGCAGAAGAAACAAGAACAAAAGGCTCCAGACAAAGATGCTATCCTCCGGGCAACAGCCAACCTGCCTGCCTGTAGCACAGACCGGACTGCAGTCCAGACCACCATGAGAGATGTGAGTATGTTGCTAGTGTGGGGCTAGGGGCATGTCCCGTGGGGTAGCAAGAAGCTCTTTAAAAGTGTTTAGGGTTAGTGTGGTGGCTGACATATACTTGTGGTCCTGGCATTCAGGAGACTGAGGCAGGAAGATGGCTTGAGCTCAGGCTTGAGGCTAGCTTGGATATTATAGTCGTCGCCCATACACACACACACACATACACACACACACACACACACACACACACCTGAAACAGAATATTCAGGGACTCTTTACGACATCAGCAAGCTGTTGTATAAACTATAATTTTCTCAAACTACAAAATTGACAAGATATCTATATCACTGAACAGACAGGCAGCTGTAGGGAAATGAAGTGGCTTTGCTCTGAATACAACAAAGCTTTCAGGGAGGAGTCTGAGCTTCCCAGTTACTTTAGATAAGAAAACTAAGCTAAAGTCGAAAGCCTGCAGCTTCCATGGGCTAGTCCATGTTAGAGTATGCGTGTGTCTGTGCAGGAGTCAGGGAAAGTGGCCGGCATTTAACTTCAGCCGTTCTGGATCCGTACTGACAGTGCTAGGAGCTCAGCTTCCCTGGGGACTTCTTGAAGAGTTCCATTTGATAAGAGTTTTGTAATTCTTCTGACTTGGACATGTGACCCTCCTTGGTTTTCTAAGGGTCCAACCCTGAGTAGGGTCTCAGGAGGCTTTAGGTTGTTCATGTCCCATCTCCAGGCCCAGTACCAGACAGGGAGCTGGTGCGGATGGTGAAGGAGTCTCTGATCTCACCAGTTTAGGGGTTTTGTTTATTATATATAGCTCAGGCTGGTTTTAAATTCGCAGAGATCTGCCTTCCAGGTGCTGGGATTAAAGATGAGGGCCAACATGCCCTCATCATAGATTTGGAGGACTATGTCCAGGGTAGAGTTGCAGATCGATTAAGGTTTGTTGGATATTCAGAGAAATAATTTTTTTTTGAGACAGGGTTTCACCATATAGGTTAGGATGGCCTTAAACTTCCAGCACTCTTTCTGTCTCAGCCTTGCAAGAACTGATTACAGGTGTGCATCACTGTGCCAGGCATGATCTCTTTCTTTATTCTACTGCAGTTCCAGACTGAACTCCGGAAGATCCTGGTGTCCCTCATTGAGGTGGCACAGAAGCTGTTAGCACTGAATCCCGATGCAGTTGAATTGTTTAAGAAGGCGAATGGTATGAGTGGGTCCTAGCTTGTGCCTGCCAGCTGTCTGCCCAAGCCTCAGAATGTGTCCCTAGCCCTTACATTGAAAGCACGTTCTGCTTTTGGTTGACAGCGGGAATGGCTGGGGGCCGGGGAGGGTGGCCATTTCTTGTGTGTATGTAAGAGCTGATGTTAGGCTCAAGTTTTCTGTGGCATCAGTAATTGCTAGGAGCCTTTGCAGATGAACTTATGGGCTTCAAAGGACTTAGGAATCCTCTCATGGTAGGACTTCTCTTTTTTCTCAGCTATGCTGGATGAAGATGAGGATGAGCGAGTGGATGAGACTGCCTTGCGGCAGCTTACAGAAATGGGCTTTCCCGAGAGCAGAGCTTCAAAAGCCCTCCGACTGAACCAGTATGCTTTCTTTCTTTCCTTCTTGGAGCTTGACCTGGGCTTCCCTGTGCTGTCCCCTCCCAAACTCTGATGGAGCAATACTTTTTTTTTTTTTCAGATTTATTTTGATTTTTATTCACCTGTGTATATACATGTGTATATGTCCACCCCACCCCCAACTCAGGTTCTCCATCTTAACCTCTGAGCCATCTCTCCAATCTGATTAAGTCATTTCTAATATGTGTGTTTTAAAAGATGCACCTTAGAGGCAGGCGGTGGTGACTCACGCTTGGGAGGCAGAGGCAGGTGGATCTCTGTGAGTTTGAGGTCAGCCTGGTGTACAGAGTGAGTTCCAGGACAGGCTCTAAAGCTACAGAGAAACCCTGTCTCGAAAAACAAAACAAAACAAAACAAAAAGACGCACCTTATTGTTGTGTCCCAAGTGGTTTGATTTATGATCCTTTTGGTGTGCATGTGTGTTTTGAGGGTCTCTGTCTTGAACTCCTGGACTCATGCAACACTCCTGCTCCTCAAGCTCCTGAGTGACTGGGACTGAGGTGTGAACCACCATACCTAGATGTTAGGAAAGTTAAAAATCAATCTGTAAATAGGCTCTGCGCCCTCAAATTAGGAGAGCTCTAAGCCAAACTTGCCTCGGCAGGGACAGTTCTTTCTTAGTCCTTCTTGCTCTCCTGGTTTCAGTCCCTTATTCAGATCCTGTATGAATACTGTAGACCAGATCAGAGCTGCTCTTTGAGCTGTGGACCTAGGACCTAGATTCCTTTATCCCTTTCTTTTGGGCACATATCTGTGCTGCCCTGTTGGGTCTTGGGAGTTTGAGGCAAGGGCTGTGTGAAGGTTTCCATCCCCAGAGATCATCTGCTGCTGCTGTTGCTGCTGTTCCTGCGGTCTCTGTTGAAATATGTTGGAACACACGGGATAGAAAAGTCTCCAGTGACTATCCTGGAATCTCTTGTCCCCTTTCAGCATGTCAGTGCCTCAGGCCATGGAATGGTTAATCGAACACTCGGAAGATCCAGCTATTGACACACCTCTTCCAGGCCATGCCCCACAAGCAGGGGCAGGTGCTGCAGCTACCACCTCCACCTCCCATGAAGCTGCTGTGGGAGCAGCTGTGGGAACTAGTGCTGGAGATGAGGAGGCCCGGGATGAGCTCACAGAAGTCTTCAAGAAGATCCGCAGGAAAAGGGAATTCCGAGCTGATGCGCGGGTATGTGATGGGGGCTTCCGCCTGAGGTTGTCTTTGTGTTGTGTTGTGCGAGGAAACTGAGAGGCCTGGAGTCTGGGTGGGAGTTCCCATTTAGGCCTGGGCAGACTTGGGTCTTCATAAAATTTTCCGTGCTTGGGTCCAGTTGGCTTCTTTCTGCTCAGTGACATCTCCTGAAAAGCTGAGTGTGCAAGCTTCTGTCTGTTAGAAGTTTGCTGCTGCACCTGTTGCTGTGGCCTTTGGGCTGGGTGGGCAGTGTCCCGAGAGCTGGAGGAACATCTCGTGGACTGGCAATGGAGTGGGAATATGTCATGCTGGCTGACTACTGGACAAGAGCCTAGGATCTAGGATATCTGTCTGCCCTCTATCAGCTGCCACAAATGCACATTTATGGCCCCACCTGATCATCGCCACAGGTTGATACTTTTCTTTGTGTTCTTTAGTCTCGCTCCTGTTCTTGACTGGAGTTTTAATTCCTCCTTGGGCCTTTCACTTTTTTCAGGGTGCACATCTGCCCACTCAGGGTGCATGCTACTTGCTTTTTGGATTTTGGCATGTTGAATAAATGGTTTTCTCAGGGCGTCAGATGTGGCTTATATTTTCCTTAGTAATCCCATTGGCTAGGTTGAGAGATTTCTAAAGATAAATGAGGCTTTACTTGTGCAGGGCTGAGGGAAACTGGCAGCTGGGGCCTGTTTAGTTAGTTGTCCCGGTGCAGTCATGTGCAGTACCAGCTGCACTTCCTCTGACTTCAGTCCTTGACTGTAAAGACAAAGCATTTCCTTGCTCTGCTCTGCTCGCTCTGGCTTTAAGTAAAGATCCCAGTCCCCTTCTTCCCTCAGGTGTGCCAAGTGTGATCCGCTGCCTGTGACTGACTGAAACAAATCTGTTCTGCACATTGTGCTGCTCCTTGGTGGGCAGTGTCCTCTGGTGAGGTGCTGACCAGCTTGTTCTTCTCTCTTAGGCTGTCATTTCGCTGATGGAGATGGGCTTTGATGAGAAGGAAGTGATTGATGCACTCCGAGTGAACAACAACCAGCAGAATGCTGCTGTGAGTGCCAGCAAATTGCAGCCTGCACATCTAATGTTGCCTTTACCTTATGTGGCATACACTGGGAATGTCCCTTGTCTCGGAGTTTCCACACATAGTTGGTGGTGGCACTTTTTATGTGAAATACTAGGGCAAATGTTTCAAACAGAAACTGAGAAAATTCTGGACCCACAATGCTTTTGTGTATATAATTTGTGAGTTATTAGCTGTTAAGATCAAGTTCCATAGAATGGGTGTAGTAGTGCGAGCCTCCAGTCTCAGCACTTGGGAGGTAGAGGCTGGTGGACCTCTGAGTTTGAGGCTGGCCAGGGCTACACAGAGAAACCTTGTCTTAAAGAAAGAGAACAAACAAACAAACAAACAAACAGAAAAGATCAAATACCATGCCATGAACACACAGTGGCTGCTAACAGGTTCTCCGTCCAGGGAGTACTGTGTGATGGGCCTATCCTCACGTGTGTGTGGAGCTGAGGCTCAGACACCTGAGGCACAGTTCTAGATCCAGAATTTCCAGGATCATTGGCTGTGGAGAGATAATTCTCATACTGGGGTTTTCCTCAAGTAAAGCCAGTGGTAGGGACTATGTTGTGAATAGGGCCATGTCAGTGATCAAATTGAACTGCAATGATAGCTCTGCTAAGAAAGCAAGGTTGATACTTCCTTCTGTCTCTATCCTGGCTGAATGTGGACCAGGTTTGTTTATGTTAGGGCCCCTTCCTGGTATTGCAGCAGCAGGGGCTTGTGGAGAACCACAGAAAGGGACAGGTAAGCCTCAGGTGCTTTGAGAAGGGACTAACTGCTCCTCTGATGTTCTTGGTTTAGTGTGAATGGCTGCTAGGGGACCGGAAACCATCCCCTGAGGAATTGGACCAGGGCATCGATCCCAGTAGCCCTCTGTTTCAGGCCATCCTGGACAACCCAGTGGTGCAACTGGGTTTGACAAACCCTAAGACATTGCTAGGTATGTGTGTCTACTTAGACCAGCTGGGGTAGGGGACACATGGTGGGTGGGTTTCCTGCCACAAGACATAGGTGCCAGTGAGACATAGGTTTGGGCACTACTAGTGTGCCATGCAGGTTGGCTTCTGCAAGGCATTTTAGGCATTTTAGCTATACTTCTGAAAGCCTGGTCCCTGGAAGTTGGGCTGTCTTGGTGGGATGGATATCTGCAGAAGGTCACTTGAGACGGGCAGAGCAGTGGTCTGAATGGGGATAGGAGATGAGGAGATGGTATGTTTTGGCTTTTGCTTACTATTTATAAGACACTTCTTTGATAATTATTTTAAGTTGTGATATATATTTATATATTAAAAATCTGCCAGTTGGTGGTGGCACACCACCACCTTTAATCCCTGCATTTAGGAGACAGAGACAGATATTTGCATTTGAGGCCAACCTGGTCTACAGAGCTAGTTCCAGGCCAGCTAAAGCTATGCAGAGAAACCCTGTCTCGAAAAACTAAAAAAAGAAAGAAGAAAAGAAAAAAGAAAAAAAATTCACATAATGGGGCTAGCAAGATAGCTTAGTGGGTAAGAGTATTTGCTTCTAAGTAAATTTGACCCTGGAAATCACATAGTAAAAGGTGAAAACTGACTTCTGCTTGCACACTGGCACATGCATTCCCCCTAAATAAGCAAACAAATAAATAAATGCCAAAAATATAAATAAAATCTATACTTTTAAAAAGTGATAGAGCTAAATAGCTATGCATATGGCATCCATTTGTTAACAGTGCAGTTAGCCAGTTTTAGTGGCCATGACTATAACCTTAGTGCTTGGAAGGCAGAGGCAGGAGAATTGAGGGGCTAAGGTCAGTGTGAGGTGGATTGCAAGACCCTGTAGCAGCCTCTCCCCACATAACTGTTATCATCGGTGTCCTCAGTACTGGTTCCAGGGAGTGTGTGCAGATCACTCAGGTCTCTCCTAGTGGAGCATAGAAGCAGATGTGGCTTACCCGGGCAGTCCCAGAGGACAGCCTAAGCTAGGAGTGAGACCCTGTCTCAGAGAAACAATAGAAGAAGCGTAGTATCGCTTATACTCTCTAGATTCCTTTTGGCTTCTAATGTAACATAAAAGCCAGGGGAATGGCTGTGATTCTGAATTGTTCAGGGATGATGATAAAATGGAAAATTCCATATGCATTTGTGTAATGCACATTTTTTTTTCTTGAAGTTTTATGTTTGTTTGCTTGTTTTTTTTTTTTGTTTTTTTTTTAAGACAGGGTCTGGCTATACAGCCTCCTGAATCAAGGTGGGCGTTTCCTCAGAGTTTTATTCCTGTGAGTGCAGGGGGCCGACCCATCCAATCCCTACTTCCTCTGAGCCTTCACATGTTGTTCCCATTCATCACCCATCCCCTTGCATACAAGAGTGGCCGTGACCTTGAGGGCCTTCCTTCCTGGGCTTTCCTGTAGGATTTGTTTTGACCACTCTTTTATACATATTTTCTGTCACTTGCCCCTGCCTTATAATGTGGCATCACTTTTTAGGCTACGTCTGTGGCTTACTGCCATTATCTCCTCCTGTGAGGTGTACTATGCCATGGGCCAGAGATGACTGTATCCTGCTGTCCAGTGGTACGTGGGTTTTTTCCTTGCATTCAGGAACTTGTTGCTGTCCCTCATGCACATGGGCTACCTGTGGTGGGCACAGAAAAGGTACTGCTGCCTGGACCCAACGTGTTTTATGCTCTCCGGTCTCTGGTGGAGTTCAGCAGCAGTGTGTGACGTCACAAGGGCTTCTGTGTCTTCATGTCTCTTTTCCTTCTGGGTTCTTCTTTTTCTCATTGTTATGCAAGCTTTTCACATTGTGAACACAGGTCCTTCCTAGCTTACTGTGTATGTGGTCCCACTTGTGGCTGCCTATCAAGTAGCTTTTGGGAACAGAAGTTCTCTCTATTCCTTGAACTTGAAAGGTGCCTGTTATCTTTATGTTCAGAAAAACATTTCTCTTAGGTTATTGGAGCATTTTGAAGTTTCTTTAAGTCCATCACTTAGCTGAAAATGTGTATGTGTGCATGCAGGTGTGGGTCGTAGCACGTGTGGTATAGGGTCCAGAGTTTGCCTTATGTGTTTAAGGCTGTGTCGTTGGTGTTTTTGTTGTCACTGGTCCTTCCACACTGACAGCATCACTCTCCCAACCCTTACCAGGCTCTTTGTGACTCTTAAGAAAATAATAGGTGCTGTGTTGGGATCTGACCAGAGGACTGTGTGTGTGCTGGGGATCCAGGGCCTGGCATGCTAAGTACACGCTCTGATGAGCTTTCTTTTCGTTTGTCACTGCGGATCTTGCTGTGTGGAGGCAGTGGGTTTTAAGGTACATTTGGTCAGATAAAAGAACCTCTCCATTTTAGGTACTGGTGTTTAACCTTTTTTTTTTTTTTTAAGACTATTACATATATATTTAGCTAGTGTTACCCTTTCTTCCTTTTCTGAAATAAGCCACCTGGAGTAAGCATCCGTAGTCTGTACCTGGTGTGTGTGTGTGTGTGTGTGTGTGGTGAGGGGTCTGGGCCAGTAGGACAGGACCCAGATACGTAAACTGCTCACAGCAGCAGCCTGATCACAGGGCAGGGTGCCCAGCATAGCAGGACTGAGTTGCCTGCAGCAGTGGCACATGGCTCTCAGCCATGTCTGCACTGCAGGCTGCTCCATCGTGAAGTACTCCTGTGAAGGTCCAGCCTTCCATGATGTATTCACTGTGCTTGAGCATGGAGGTTTTTCCAAGCTGATGGTGTTGAATCTGTTGGGGTACAAAGGGTTAGGCACATGGGCATTTCCTGTGGTGTCTGGAAATGGAAGTTGCAGGCTGACTTTTAAGTCTTGCTGGTGGCTCTCCAGAGTTGAGGTGCTCTGAGCTCAGGCTGTTGACTACCCACTGATGGACTGTGAGCTGGAGTACTATAAGCACATAGGCAGTCTATGGCTTTGCCAAAGATGTAAGCGAGGGCAGCTGACCACCTTGCTGGAGGGCCATGGGTTGTGGGTGCTCTGATCACACTGTCTACCTCCCTGTTGACAGCCCCTGAGGTCTGACTTCTCTTCTCAGATCTATTTGGTCAACAACTCAGGCACTGTGGTTGGATTTTAAGGGTGAGTGCTAGGGTCAGTATTGAGCACTTTGTGTCCCTGCCCCCATCACTTCAGGGCCACTGGGAAAGGCTCAGTGTGCCCATTGGTTTTGGGTGCTGCCACTCAGCTCTGTTGTCTTCCCACAGCATTTGAAGACATGCTGGAGAACCCACTTAACAGTACACAGTGGATGAACGACCCAGAGACGGGCCCTGTCATGCTGCAGATCTCTAGAATCTTCCAGACACTGAATCGTACGTAGGTGGTGCCTACTGTGCTCCTTGGCTGTGCAACCTCAGCAGCCTCCGAGGCAGTGGGCACAGGGCCCAGCCGGGATCTTGCCTGGATCACAGCTGCGGTAACTCTCCTTCCCTGACCTTACTGCTTATCACCTTCTGCCATGTGGCTGGAAAGCTGCAGTCCTAGCTTCTGCCAGGTGTTTACAGGAAGTGGCTCTTGCACTGGGAAGGTGAACGATTGCTGCCCCATCCCCTCCAGATGCTCTGCTGGGCTTCCGAAGTGCTACTTGAATTGACCCTTAGGTATTTGCTTGTGGAGCCCACTGTATTTTAAAGATGGCATGTTCTGATCCAAAGTGTTATGTCAAGTGTGCTAATTTAACCAGAGTGACTCACAGATAACTTTAATAAATAAACCCTTTTCCTATTTTCAGTTGTGTTACTCCACGGCAGCAAGGACATCACATGTGTTCTCTAGGCGGTGTGCGTGCAGCCTCTGCCCAGAGCAGCTGTCATTGCCGCTTCTCTTTTTGAGACAGGGTTTCTCTGTAGCCCTGCCAGTCCTGGAACTCGCTCTGTAGACCAGGCTGGCCTCAAACTCAGAGATCCACCTGCCTCCCAGAGTGCTGTGATTAAAGGTGTGTCATCGTCATGTTGTGCTCCCCCTCCCCCCACACTTTTATTGCCACTTCTTTACCTTGGAATATGGATCTTCTGGGATGGCCTAGCTCAAGTCGTGTCTAGGGACAATGACATTGCTGGAACCAGGCTTTTTCCCCACAGGTACAGCTGGCAGAACAGGGAAGTCTCCTAATGCCATCCTTTTCTCTCTTTTCTTATATATTTTTATTTTTTAAAATTCTAGTGTGTGTGTGTATGTGTGTGTGAGAGAGAGAGAGAGAGAGAGAGAGAGAGAGAGTGTGTGTGTATGCACTCATGGGTGCGTGTGCTTGTGCATGTACTTTGTGCCACAGTGCACATGTGGAGATCAAACCTACACAGGAATTGGTTCGTTCCTTCTGCCATGGTCTCAGGGATCAAGCTCAGATGTGCACCAAGTCTTATGCACCAAGCCTTATTTTTTTAAATACCTTCTGGCTCATCTTTCTGGCCCATAAAGGAGTCCTTTTCCTGTGACCCCTGCTCAGTGCTACTGTGTAAAGCTCTCAAGTGTGTTTAAGCATCTTTATGAAGCAGCCTCACCTGCCTGACCTCCACCTCCAAGGTTAGCTATAGCCTTGGCACTCACCCTGTTGCAGAACCATCTAAGAACATGTTTCTAGGTGCTGGGGAAGCAGCTTGGTGGGTGACGTGCTTCTGTATAAGCACAAGGACTTGGAGCTTGAATCCCTGGCACCATGTAAAAAGCTAGGCATGGTGGCACGTGCCTGTAACCCCAGTGTTTGGAGAGGGTAAGTGGAGTTTTGATCCTGGAGGCTAACAGTAAGCAGGAAAGTGATAGAGGAAGGGGTACACAACAAAGACTACGCTGCTGTCAGTCCCATGTCAGGGCATCTGGCTATCTGCCTAGTGAGTTGAAGAGTCAGGGATCAGAAGCTCTGAGGGAGGGTGGAGAAGTGACTCAGTGCCTAAGAGCACTTGCTATTCTGGCAGAGGACTCAAGTTTAATTCCCAGCATCCACATTGGGTGGCTCAACAACCACCTGTCTGACTCCGACCCCAGCTTCAGAAGATCTGGTTTCTTCTAGTCGCCGCACATCCAAATATAAATAAAGGGGCTGTGGAGGCCATGGAAGTGTCCTGTACCTGGGGATAGGCCCTGATGCTCTGGGCTTTTTGTCCAGGATCTGTGTGTGTGTGTTTCCTACAACACAAGTGTCCTCAGAGTGACCAAGTAGACGAGCAGCTGTGCCCATGTGACAGCTTGAGAAGCCAACGCAGACTGGCTCTGTAAAAGGTCTGCATTTGCAGAGATTGGATTTTCTGTTCTTTTGGTTTTTTTTTTTTTTTTTTTGAGACAGGGTTTCTCTGTGTAGCCTTGGCTGTCCTGCAACTCACTCTGTAGACCAGGCTGAACTCGAACTCACTCAGATCCACCTGCCTCTGCCTCCCGAGTGCTGGTATTTCAACCAACGTGGATTTTCCCTTCTTGGCTGTTCTTACAGAAGGCTTCCCCTGCTAGTGTGTGCCTTATGTGGCTCATTGGTAGCCCAAGGCTTGAGGTTGATAATGTACTTTCTTTAATCTCAACCTCTGGTGTGCATACAGCAGTGTTTCGATGGGGTTGTAGTTTTTTGACATTAAAAAGAATCTTGAATTGTTAATGATGCGTGTGAGAGAGTATTTTTTGAGCCACAGTGCATGTATTAAAGTCAGAAGATATTTAGTGGAGTCCATTTTCTTCTTCACTTTTTAATATGGATTCTAGGTGTCTGACTCAGGTTGTCAAGCTCACCTGCAAGCATTTTACTTGCTGAATCAACCGCCCAGCTCTGGGTCATAGTTTTAATACACTGTGCAGTTCTGGAAAGAACCACAGTGTTGGTAACCAGTCTGCCCTGGGGCCCCAGTCTGCCCTGGGCACTACTCTAGTGCCAAATTTCACTCCTTTGTCCACTGGGGAGTGCACAAGGTATTGTTGTGCTCTTGCTACTTGATACACATACAGCCTCCTGTGGAGCCTGTTGGGTGAGCACTGTCTAGCAGTCATTGTTTAGGGCTGGTGTTGCATGGCTGGCAAAGCATGGAATTTGTCATTCTATATGTAGACTTGAATTGAAAGCTGGAACCCAGAGAGAAAAAACACTGTGCCTTGAGCTGGCTTTAAGCTCAGTTTATGTCTCATCTGTTGATGGCTAAGTGACTTCAGCCAGTTGCGGTGGGTTTTGTGGTTCTTAGATGTAGCTTTTGCTGATGAGGTATGAACATAGGTCTAGTGACAGAGGCCTGATGGTATTTGCACCGTTGGCCTAGGTAGGACATTCATTCTTTTGAACACAGGGCAATTGTGTCATTTCAGCTTCTGCACAGCCTTGTCCCTTAGGGAACTTGTAGGATGGGTCTCCGTGCAGATCCACATTTGACACTTAAGGGGGGGGGTGCACAAGGAAATTCGAGTGGGGGAACTGGATATAGGGAAGGCCTTTGGGTTCATGGCCCACAACCTTCTTGAGGGCAGGACCTATGCAGGATTCCAGGTTCAGGCCTGGCAGGTAAAAACAAAACAAAACAAACTTCGTGGGATGGGTGGAGATAGCTTTAAGCATGTGGCCTCTCAACCAGCAGTAGATCCTGTGCCCAGAATTTACTTGCTAAATTTCCACACTGGGCTTGAAGCACTGCTGTGATCAGATGGCTTAGAAAAACCAGTGTTTCATTGTAAAATACTTGTATTTAATGGCATATTTCTCTCTCTCTCTCTCTTTTTTTTCCCTCTGAGACAGGGTTTTACTGTGTAACATCCCTGGTTGTCCTGGAACTAGCTCTGTACACCAGTCTGACTTCTGAGTCACAGAGATCTGCCTGAATAGTATGTTCCTAACTATGGTTTTTTAATAAGACAGGTATTCCAGGCGGTGGTGGCACACGCCTTTAATCCCAGCACTCGGAAGGCAGAGACAGGTGGATCTCTGTGAGTTTGAAGCCAGCTTGGTCTATAAGAACTAGTTCCAGGACAGCCAGGGCTACACAGAGAAACCCTGTCTTGAAAAGCAAAACACACACACACACACACACACACACACACACACACACACACACACCAGGTACAGCTGGGCGATGGTGGCACAGCACTTGGCAGGGGGCAGAGGCAGGTGGATCTCTTTGTTTGAGTTCTGGGTCAGCCTGGTCTACAGAGTTAAGTTCCAGGACAACCAAGGGTACACAAAGGAACCTTGTCTTGGGGTGGAGAGGGTAGACTCCCAGGTATATTTGGATTTGGACTCTGTACATACAGAAATGGTAGTCTGAGATGCATGGCATGGGGCAGAATAAGGAGTGGACACGGCACTCAAGAGCCGACCAGACATAGAGGTTTCTCTGTGTAACTGTGTGGATTGTGGACCAGGAATAAGGGGTGGGTGGAAAAGTATGCATGCTGCCCTGAGGAAGAGCATGAACCACAGAGTCTTTTGTCAGCTGGCCTGTTGGTTTTCCATCCTTGCTAGACCCTTGCCACCTTTCCCTGTGATGTCCTGTCCTCCATACATACCCTATGACCCCAATATGGCGATGTTGAGACTGGTCCTTTTGAGGGGTCTTGTTCCCTGCTTGGTTGTATAAGGCCTGTAGTACCTACATGTTCCTGTCAGCACGCTGCCATGGGAGCCCAGCTGCGAGGTACCCACTAGCTGCAGAGCTGTGCAGGTAGATGAAGGCAGGGAGTGGGAGGTGGAGAGCCATTGAAGTAAAAGGTGAAGATCTTGAGTCGAGGATTGGCATGGGGAGTTGCAGAAGGGAATGGGAAGGGAGATAGACAGGAAAGTTGTGGGGATAGAGTTCTGTGCCAGAGAAAAGGGCCTGAAGGACAGTAGAAACAGGTCGCAGACAGGGAAGGGAACTTGAAGATAGTTGAGGGTACTCTCTTCACTACCAGAAGGCTTGGACTACTAAGCATAGGACTACCCTAAAGGGTGGTGCACCTCCACCCTTGGCTGCTGTATGTTTTCCAAGCATAGCTCCAAGAGCAGCTATTTATCAAAACACCAAATATAGACTGGTGTATGATTCATCAATCCCAAGATACCCTAAAGAAGTGAAAGCAGGCTCTCCAGCAGGTCCTGTGTTCATAGCAGAAACTGCCATGTAACCCAGAGGTGGGACAACCCAGTGTCTGCAGACATGTGGTCCATGTGGTCCATTCTGGGTCAGCAGCATGTGGTCCATCCATCCCTTGGGGCGCTACTGTGCCTTAACCAGAGGGAAATCCCCTCCTACAATAGGAATTGATCCGGAGGAATCATGTTGAGTGACAGGAGCCAGACACAGGTTTCCAGAGCTCACAAAGCCAGGACAGGAAGTGAACTAGCGTGTTTCATGGGACAGTTTCAGTTTAGGAAACGGAAGTTATAGAGAAGCGTGATGACGATGGTCGCACTGTGGGTGTGTTAGTGTACTGAACTGAAGTTACAGTGAAGTCGGCTTCCAACTCCAAACCTAGGACCAAGGGACGAAAGAATGTAAAGGTACACGTCTTTTAGTGATGCTTAGCAAGAAGCAGCGGCCTAGCTTAGGGTGCCTCAGGAGACAACCTTTCTTGCACGGGTGGGGTGCCCTGGAAGAAACCCTTAATTGCCTGTCCCTCTTTCTAGATTCTTTCTGACCAAGCTGAGAGACTCGGCACTCTGCAGTCTGGTAGTGTTCCCGGGGGACAAGAATGGTGTCAATTCAGATCAGCCTGTCAGGTTCCACGCCCAGGAGAGTTGGCAGAGAGACCAAGATGGTTGATGCTGTGCTATCTATTGAGAG